CCCCCCTCACTCCCCCTCCCTTCCTCGGGCTGTCGGATGCTTTGCTTTGAGGTGATTCTGTAATTCCTTTCTTTCGGGGGAGATTCCACTGGATTTTTTCACCCTTGTACTCCCACTGCCCTCCCCTGCCGGCACTGGACCTTGGCGGGTTTTCCTTTGGATCTTTGTTTTTTACCAGCCCTTTTCTTGGCAAGGATCCCTGTCCTGTGGGAGTGGAGCACTGGGATCCCTGTCCCGTGGGAGTGGAGCACTGGGATCCCTGTCCCGTGGGATCAGAGCACATGGAGTCGCTCCGACAGGGGGTCGTGGGCAGAGGGGCTGAGACCTGGCCAGGACCCTCCCTGGGGCAGTTGGAGCCTCCTCAGGGGAAATGTTGATTTTTTTTTTTTAACAGCCAACATTGGTCTTAAGAATAATAATAATAATAATTAGGAAAAAGGAGCATCTGCAGAGCTCATCCAGCCCGGAGCGAGGGGGAAGCACCGGGATGGCACTCGAGGGTTTTGTTGTGGCACTGCTTGGAGGTGGCTCCTAAAAAAGAAAAGGGGTGTTTGGAAATGGGGTACAGTTCAGGAAAAACCTTTTTGGTGTTCCAATATCCGGCTCTTCCCACCGTGGGAGGGCCAGGACAGCTCAGTCCTTTCCGTTCTTCCTCCCACACCCTCCTCTTCCTGCCCCGGATGATATCCGTGCTCCCTGCGTTGGGAACAGGCCAGGGGGGGTTGATTCCATCCCAAAACAGGGTGGGATATGGGATGTGGATCCCAACCTCCCCCCCTCTCCCCTCCCTGGAGGCTGCAGGGAGAAATCTTGAATTGTTTTCAAGCAGCAGTTTTGGGGTGAGCTGAGCAAGGAGTTCAGTCTGAGCTGGAGGGGGGAGCAGAGCGTGGGATGGGGGTCCCAGGAATGACCCTGGGATGTGGAACTATCCTGGCTCTGGGGATGAGGAGGGTGCTGAGCTCAGGGAGAGGGTCCCAGAGTGCTGGACGGGCCTGGGGCCATCCCTGTTTGTGGTGTTGGGGTCGGTGTGTGACCCTCTTGCTCTTGGGGGTACAGAGGGGAGGACCCCTGTGATCGCCCCCTGATCCATAAATCCCACCTGCCTGGGATATCCTCCCCCCTTCAGGGCTTCTGCTGGGGCATTTTCTACAAAGAGGTGATTTTTTTTTTCCCTGCCTGGGAATAATCTCCGTGGCATGAGGAGAGTGGCCACCCCACCCCTGTGCTCCTGGGACACCCCCTTTCTGGGACACCCCACTCGGGAGATATCCCCACTCCAGGGACACCCCACCCCTGGGGACACCCTGCTCCTGGGACACCCCCTTTTCCTGGGAGATACTCCAGCAGAGCCAGGACCACCAAGTGGGTGCTGGCAGTGGGGGCTGAGTTGCCAAAATCCCTTTGGGAAACCCTCTGGAGAGGAATTCAACCAGTGCCCCGTGTCCCTCTGCTCTCAGAGTTTATCCACACTCAGAGGCTTCCCAGGACCACCAAGTGGGTGCTGGCAGTGGGGGC